TATATATAGTATAAATGAACCGATTAAAGCCTCTCAGCAAGGGTGATGACTACAAGTAGCACTTGTACATGGGAGATGTTGGTGTCCAACCCACTGGCCGCGGAACAAAATCAGTGGTCTAAAAGCTACAAAAGGGGCGAGAACTCACCGCATTGCCAGCATTCCAACAGCCTATCTGGGTCACTAAAATATGATAAGAGAGGAGACGTCGAGGAACGGTAGACGGAACGTACTACTTGTGCTTTATAGCCAAGAGTCTGTCGTAATTGGACCCCCAAAAGGCAACTGAATAAAACAGAGGTTGGTGTTTCGCACGGATGCTGGCTGAAGGACAACTGACCTTCATGGTTTGGTTCATATACATCAGCCTCGTTCTGTGAGTCCTGCGTGTTAGTCTCAACATACAAACGCTTGGTAACATGTAAACGTACCACATATGCTGCGCCTGGAGTAATTTTTCGTAGATGGTCAATCGCGTGGCTGACCAGTGAATAATGGTCCCTCTTTTCTTCCACTGATGTATCCCAGTTCCACGATGAAACCAACGTAACGTGGAACAAGCTGTCCCTCCAAGCTTCTGTTACACTGGTGTGGCTATCGCCTGGATAAGATGAAGGTGCCGAAATTAATATTATTACTGATCCTGTAGCATTATTCGCTGCCGTAAGTGCAGACACTAGCTCTCTTTGGTTCGACGGTGTCTCGAAGTTGGATTTGTTTATTAGCCGGGAGGCTAGCGCTAGTGGTATTCCGACGCGCTAGAGAAAACAAATGAATGAGGACCTGAATATCGAAATAACGAAGAGTAACCGTACCGCAACATATTGGCTAGAAAACGTGTTAAAGAAGGACGACCAAGTTGGGAAGGTCGTCACCAGCGTCTTCGCACCGGTAACGTTCTGAGCGACTAACCGCTGACCAAAATTGATCAGCGGAGCCATGGACTGAGCGGCTGCGCGGGCGTCGAGGAGAGGGTTGATGTAAATGGCAACTCCCTTGTTCGAGATCCCGCCCCAACCTTCCTTCGCCCAACGCACTGAATTCTCGGCCATGATGGTCCATAGTTCTTCGGTGAGAGTCGAATTAACAGCCGGGTCGAATGCCACGATGATCGTCTCGAGTTTCACCGGTGGGGATGCCAACACCGTGCTTTCAACTACTACGCCGAATGTCCCGCCACCACCTATCGCCGGGGATGTTATTTACGATCAACGGCAGAGCGAAAGCCGTGGACCCTCACCTCCACGGAGCGCATAGAAGAGGTCCTGATTTTGACATGCGTTGGCAATTCTGTATCGTCCATCCGGTGTGACGACTTTGAACTGAAGCTACGGAAGCAAAGGTTCATAGATCAGGAATAGCGATCGGGACAGAGGGATGACGCATACCACTCGATCAACGCCTAGTCCCATTGTATTTGAAAGCATGCTATGACCGCCGCCCTAGAAAGCCGTGAAACTCCGAGTGATACTGAAGGATAATAGATTCGAACCATTAACCAACCACCGGACGCGCCCACGGATCTGTCGGTACCTACGGAAATTCAGGACATGCGATGATTCCGGGATGATCTAGACCTACCCCCAACGATGGTGATGTTGTTAGCCTCCGCGAAGGCATAGGCCTCGTACCATTGTACACCAGCCTATCAAGTTGATCAGTTGATCAGTTATAGGTTGGGATGGTGATGTAAACGAAACTAACTCCAAGTGTCACTGCTGGTCGTGCTGACTCTGGATGTTTACAGCCTTCAGGGACGAAATGATGATTGTATGATATCTAGATGAACGTTCAATGACTGCACCGGCTTACAACGAGTAGTTCCACATACATGCTTGAGGTTATGTGTCTGGAAAGTTTATCGAATGAGCCTCAGTACGTAGACTTGGCACGAAGACGTACCCAGATTCCGAGAGAGTTGGGTGAACTACTTCGTCCCTTGTAATCGTGCTGAACAATCATGAGTCATCGGTGTGATGCCAAACGGACCGATGGACTCACTCCGGTATTCTTTACTACAAGCGGAACTTTGTATGCTTTCGAGAATTCAAAGGCAACCGAGACGTCCCTCGCGGAACGCACGTCAAGCTAGGACTAGATTTCAGGAACAACCGTTCATCAACATTATAGGCACTCACATAATAATTTGACACGCTTCCCATTTGACATTTATTCGGCGCCCCTATCGGATTAGTCCTAGTCGTATTCTTATAGTCGAGGAGGCATTGTTGACTAGTGGCCTGACAACTCTCCCACTGCGCGTTGGTGAAGCCGCCCGGTTGGTTTGAACGAAACACTAAGACAACGAACATCATGATGAACACGATTATTCATTGGTAGCAGATATCGACGCGTACCTTCATCTAGATATCCGTGTTGTATCTCTGAGCACAGCGCAGATGTGGGGTCGTCAACGCAAGGTTGCGCAAGGGGCGCGCCTGCGATGAGGCGGCCATCGATGGACGCGTTCAAGGCGCTCCATACATTGTGACCGCCAATCGACCAAAGTTCCTGAGATGTTGCGATTGCCACTGCATGGCTGGTAGCTATCACAGAGAGCAAGAGAGGGAGCATGACTGGGCTGTTGAGATATTCATCGAGCCCGTCATATTTATATACTTAGTAGCCCCATGGGAGCTGTACTTATTCCAGTGTAAAACGCACGCCAAATACAGATCATTGATCCGAACCCATCAGCTGTAAGGAACTTCATAGATTAAGTGACCGAGTAAAAAGGACCTTCAGTCACAGCGTTGATCAATCTAAAGAAGGCTAAGCAATTCAGTCAGTAAGCAAATAATTTAAATGAAACGACGCAGTACCGGATACGGCCAGGATATACGCAAGTAAGGGGGTATCGGGTCCGACACCGTCCGATAAAACATCAAAGCGGTTGGACAGACCACGCGCAGCGATCATGCCGAATTATGCTCATTGCGGAAATGAGAATATTTGGATGTTCGTATAATTACCGTCAGACGCGGAGGGTAATAGAAAAGGCTCAGCGGCTAGCGCACAGGAGAGAATATTCCAAATCCCTGTTGGATTCGCATGATGATAAAGTATCTGGCGTGTCATCGCTTATCATTGCAGATGACAGATCAGATAGTAGCTGTGTCGAACTTGAACAAAAATGTTGAATCCCATCAACAAACAGTATGTGAAACACAAGAAGTTAACATCTTTGGGTCGATAAGGTTGTTTCATGGCTGGGCAACGAGCCATCAAAGGAGGAAGAAAAGATGTGACATTTTTGGATGACTTCTCGACAAATAGAATATTCACGTGATTCTTATACTTCCGTTTTAAGGTCCTCATTTTCGTCCCTGCCCGGCCGGTGTTCAAAAAGTTCAACGTTCAAGCTCAAGCTCCAAGTGAAAATTACCGTTCTTCTGATTCCCTAATCACCATCACCATCACCATTCCACCTACCTTACGAGAGACAGTCAATGCTTCTTTATGTCAGAGGTCATTTACAGCAATAAAGAGCCAATGCTTCGGTCTTTCCTACGCGTTCAAGTCGTCTGCTCTTTACCGTGTACGTCGGGTTCAGACTCCAAATTTCAGGCCTTTTATTCAATTCTTCGACATTAAATGCATGGATAAGTACAAAGCAAGGAAAAGAACATCTGCCCTTCTTCACTCGATACTCACGCTCACCTCCGGTACCCAGAATCTCCGGTCCAAGATCACAGGAAACAATAGATTTTAGTGGCAGTCTCATCCGTGTCGGTCTTCAAATTCACGGAAGTCGATCCCCTCCTCTGAACCACGTAACAATCAAGTAGCAAGGAACTCCATGAATCGCACGTCTGTCGTTGCGAATGTCTCGGGGTGCTGATGTTTTTGGAGATCATCCAGAACCTAGGGAACAGTGCATAGTACGAACAAGAATTGTCGCCAAAACATTTGGCACAGATCCTGCGATGATCTCTCGAAATAATGTAACAGTGGAGTCGCTGAGGAGTCATTTGCAAGGATCAAGAAAGCTTACTTACGGGAAGAAGTGGAGCGGCTGCGATGAGCGGCAAAGTGAGAGATGCGACACCTCCAACTTCCTCCCGTTCTTCCTGAGTCTGTTTCGGATCCGATATCTTGTCCCGCAATCCAGGTAATTGACCGTGCACGCCATTTTGATCATCGTTCTTACATGTTTGTTCGCCGACAGGAACCATCCATATATCTTCTCTCGTGTTGTCCAAAAGGGAGCCGCCAGACGGTCTAATAGCGTTCCGCTATGGACAGATGACAAAATATCCGACGGACCAGCCGTAGCAAGATCAGCAACGCCCCCACTTGAATGCGGAAGCTTCCTGAACCTGCACAAGGAGGTGCGGATAAGGTGAGGAGGAAGTGTTAATTACCACAGTGACTAACGTCGGACATACTTTTAGTGAATGAATGGAGCCAAACTTCAGTCAGTTCCCCATGAGCCTCTCATGCTAGCCTAATATTAAGTATGGGACATATAAACTCCCGTGCAACTTCCTTTAGGAGATTGGGAACCAAGCATAGGATGTAGTATTACTAATGTTGGATCCATGAATGCTAACTTCAACAGTACGTAGAAGATGTCGCGACAGTTATAGAATCGTTTGCTCTGATGGCTAGCGGCTGCGCTTCTTCCTTCCAATTAATAAATGACTACTATGTTGACAGGGTTTTTCACCTTCTGGTGTGTTTTGAGAGAGCTGGGACTGGCTATGCATGTGGGTCGGTATATGATATGGCATTTCGAAGAAACTGTTATCATAGATGTCAATATTTGCTCCCCGTGAGTGGATAAAGGCTGTTGTACCATCCTGACAGAACCTCGAAGAAGGGGGGAGGGGAAGTACTAGACCCTCTCTGAAGTTACAAGAACAATTTGGAGAATATTGACGTCCCTCTCTGATGTCCCCTCATACATGACTCTTTTGGGGGGTACCAGTAGCTCGTACTTGCGTTATTCTACCTCGTACAGCTTCGAAAAACAAAAATGCAACCAAATTCAGAAAAAATGGACGTTCAGGGGATTGAACCCTGGACCTTATACAAATATTCATTCCTTCAGGAACTGCAAAGCATACGCGCTACCACTGCGCTAAACGCCCATGGTTACTCTCTAATTTGAAGCCCTCGAGTCGCGCTAATAGGGCCGCATCCTTCCATAACTGTTGCAATTACTGCCGGCGGCGCCCAGCTTCATATTTTCACCATGACATTGGAATCTTTACTTCTCTCCTCCGGCAGCAAGCCCATTGATACGGAGCTCGATGCCCTATTTCAATCCAATGTAAGTGCTCTTCTGTGACTATGGCATCTATCCTTATACTAGAACAGGCTGCTAAACCCCCACTTATATCTGGGCCATCGACAACTAATATGGCGGAGGTGACCTCTAGGAAACGTAAACACGAACAAGAATCTACTATTGTGACGAAGCGAACAAAATCGACTTCGTCCGAGTCCGGGAAGCAGAGCAAGGTGCCCAAGTCAATCAAAAGACAAAAGATTGTGAAGGACACAAAAATCAGCGCCGACAACGACGACAACGACGAACTGGAGGATGCCTACGCGAAGTCGAAAGAGGTTCAGACTGGGAAGGGCGTTGAATCCGAGTCAGACGAAGATCCCTCGAAACTCGTTCACGAATCGGTAGCTCGAAGCGTTACTTCTACTGGTCGTCCCAGTCAGAAGCGCAAATTCGTTCCTTCTGACGAGACGCAGGAGCAACGGGATTTACGCACGATCTTCGTTGGAAATCTATCTATCGAAGTTGCTCAAAAAAAGGTGCGTTTCACGCCTTCTCTAGACGCTGACTAGCTCTCATCGTCATGCGCAGTCTGCACTTAAACAACTACACCGACATATTATCGGTCTGGTTCCCAATGCCAAAATTGAATCAACTCGTTTTCGTTCCATCGCTTTTCAGACTCCTACATCTGAACTTCCCGAAGATGATGTCTCGGAGAAAAAGGCAAAGGCACCGGGGAAGGCAAAGAAAGGTAGAGAGCATGGCAAGGATCGCGCTTCATCATGGAGAGACAACAACGAAGACGACTCCACAAAAAATGACGAGAAGAAATTCCTTACACCGAGCCAAAAGAAACGCATTGCTTTCATCAATCACGATTTCCATTCCTCCGCCGACCTCACAAATGCTTATATCGTTTTCGCGCACCCCGTTCCGGCGGAAAACAGGCCGTCCAATCTCCCTCCTTTACCTCCAACCCTCGACCCATACGAAGCGGCGCGCTTAGCAGCGGATGTATGCAATGGCTCGACCTTCATAGATCGTGTTCTTCGCGTGGACCTCATTGGCAGAACGGGTGCACAACGTCATGGTGACTCAGTCGACGGCGATCCCAAGTCGTCAGTTTTTGTCGGTAATCTGGATTTTGGTAGCAAAGAGGAGGATCTTAGGGTATTTTTCGAAATGCTTGTTACAGGAGAGCGTGGACTGCCAGCTCTGAATGACGAGCAGGATGGAGATGTGAAGAAATCACCGACGTGGGTTACCAGGGTCCGAATTGTTCGAGACAAGGAAACTCAGCTTGGGAAAGGGTTTGCGTACGTTCAATTTGCCGTGAGTCTCTTTTTGTCATCATCCATTGACGCAGATGACTTACCGACTCTCCAGGACCGACAATGCGTCGATGAGGTTCTCGCGTTGGAAGAAGGAAAGCTTAAGTTCGCGAAACGCAAATTGCGTGTGCAACGCTGCAAGACGCTCCCAGGAGGACACCGTACCAATAGTTCGGCGCCTGCGGGGATCAAGACCTCAGTCCGGCCGTCAATACCCGCTGGCGACCCTTCATTAGGCGACAGGCTTGCTCATCTCACCAAAGAGGCCCGCAAACATGTCAAGTCCACCGACGCCGACCGAGTCGCACGACGTCTGGCGAAGAAGAAAGCGAGACTAGCTTTGAGTAAGGAAGGAGTGAAGGTGCACGGAAAAGAGCGTGATAGGACGCGAAAGAAACCATCGTTGGCTTCATCACGCAAAGCAACCTCTGCGAAGTCGACCCGGGTGAGGAGCGATAAGAGTGTTGCTAAGAAGAATACGAAGAAACAATAGACTATATGTAAGGTATGTTGCTTCTCCTACTCTGTTTCTTCCACTCTGATCTGACGATACCATGATAGATACTCCTAAGGTTAATACATTCTTGGTATTGTTACCGTGCGCCCCTCGGCTTAAGGTTCCCGCACTCAGATCATTGGATTTAGTGGCGTCAAGGTGCCGTGTCGTTTTTTTCTTCAGCGCCTCTCAAAGTGCGGGGTCAGAGTGGGTGCCTCATTATCGGCTTACGACAAAGACATGTAGATCTCTGGTGAGTCACTGTATCCAGTTATCTTTCCACACCTGATCCCCATAGTCAATCCGTTTCTCAGAATGCAGTTGGAAAAGTTTTGTAGGGCTTTGCGCGCGTGACCGGTCTTGCATGATGACTGACCCTAACCGCAATGCGTAATGCCCAGATATATCTTCTACCCTATCGCTCGGCACTCAAACATATTTCTCGTAACGCGGATTCTGTGCGGTGATACACACACCATGTGGTCCTACATTTTCTCAACTTAAAATTGTATTCACCATCCAGGCCTAACCGATATGTTATCGACTCCAGAAGTCAATTATTCCGAGCTAGAAGGAGGAGAATCTGTGACTTTTCCCCGATAACCCCTTGCTTCTATTCATTTTCGTTTGTCAGCTTTCTGCTCTTCATTAGTGTGGTGTGCGTGGAGATCCCACGAGCCGGGGGCGTTTCTTTGTGCCCGGTTCACGCATCATTTCGCATCATACCAGAACTGTAAATCTAGTTGGTAGTACTTGAGTCACTGCGGGTCAGATCCGTTTGACGTATCGTCGTCCCAACTGGTAAATCCGCGGTGACAATGGCTCACGTATATGCTGCAGTATTCAAGACTCGGAAACTAAGCGCTCCAACCCTTGTTGCTTAATGACCGACGCCCCGAAAACATTGTGATACGCGGATTAATTACCATCGAGGACGTCACCAAAAGATTCTTGAATTCAATCCGTATGAAATGCATTTAATAGTTTCCGACCCTGATACCTCGGCACTTGGAAAACATATATAGCGACTTCCATAAACAGTCTGATTCTTTGCAACCTGTGGTTGGTCGCCAGCACCCCCGTCCTTCCCTCCGACACCTTCCCTCCCTTCCCTCCATCTTAGCATGTCCAGTCCTATCCATGTCGATTCCACCCTTGGCGCGGCATTAATTGGGTTCGGTGTATCTTGCGCACTAATCGGAGCGCTGGGCGTGCAGGCTTTTTCGTACTTTCGACGGTATCCATCCGATAGACCAGCGTATAAAATTCTGGTGCGACTACATCCCTCTTCCGAAGCTATAATCCGTTAACTTTATCGCGGACAGGTGGCGGCAATTTGGTATGCGGATGATTTTTGCGGTGACATGCCGATCCGTTGATTTCTCGGGTGTAGGTTTTTAGAAATTGTCGACCAGGCGTTTATTGGGCATTGCGTGTATTATTATACGATATCGTGCGTGGCATTAAGCTTGCATCATGACTCTCGACTGACAGAGCATCACTAGAAATTATATGTCGCCGCAAGTTATGTTGTTTGGAGACGTGATATGGACGCTCATTGCAAGTAATTCTCTCCGTTTAGTGATAATGACTCACAAAGACTGTGTGACAGCTTCAATTGGTTTTGGGTGTACGTACCGGTCAACCGTTGTCGGTCTTCCAAAGTATTAAAGTCTTTTCAATAGGCCTTAGTGGGTACTGTTGTTAAAACGTACGGCGGCATGTGCTTCTAATCATGAAATCTTTGCTGACCTGTTATTCAGATGCTTTGCCATGCGTGTATGGCGATGTAAGAATCTTGAGTCTTGTCTTCTCGGGATACAATTTAACAAGACCCAGTCAGCGGTCATAATCTTCCCATTACATGCTTAATTGTGAGCCATCACTGCTTAAGATATCCATAGTCGCCTGACATTCATTTCTTGAAAAAGCTCTTCTTAACATATGGACAACTCGGTACGCTTTAGAAGCATTCCCCCCATGCCCATTCTGACCGCCGAGTTCTGAGCAGGACTCGCCATAGGTACCCCTCTAATTTCGGACCCGTTGAAAGAGACTAGCTAACCACCTGATCACAAAAGCATATGCTGTTCGAGGGTAAGATTTTGTCCGTTTTCTCAGTATTGTTCTTACATGTGATCTTGATCAGTTTTCAGTTAAACAAACTGATGTACATATCGAACTTAAGGGTCAGCGCTCGCCAGTTCCGAATGCCGTAGTGATTCTAATTCTGGCACAGACTTTGGCTTCGCTCTCGCTGGGCGCTGGGGCCTTGACTGATATCATCATTGCACTTTCCTTATCTTTGTTCTTGCGGAGGCTAAGAACGGGTTACAAGAGGTGAGCCATTCTACGTCCTGCGCTGATGGAATACTCATATCGAGCCAATGATCCAGTTCGGACTCTGTTGTCAATAGACTCACAGTCTATGCCATCAACACAGGCGTTCTGACAAGGTTAGTGGGAGAAAGAAGTCGTGTGACCAAGGCTGATCCGAACGTATTCATAGCACCATCAGCATCACGACCTTAGTATTGGTGAGTGCGGGAAATAGGAATCATCGAGAAACGTCCTGACCGCATGGACAGTACGACTTGTACCCTACGAACTTTGTGTTTATGGCCTTCTATTTTGTTTTGAGCAAACGTGGGCTATATTTCGCTTAGCTGCTTTTGTGCTGACCTTTGTCCTGATTCCAGTATATGCCATTTCTTTCATGTGTACCTTGAACACTCGGCATATCGTGAGAGGACGTGGAACAGACAGAGAAGTTGGAACTGCAAGTCCTACAGCTCATCTCTTCGGCAACGCATTCTACATGGTTCATCCTCAGCCACTCAGGTCGCAAACGCAAAAGGTTCTTATTTCACTCAAGTTTGACAAACGTTTAATCGATTCGGTGTGCAGACTCAATTGACCATCGGAATACATCAGGAAGTTTCTGTAATGTCAGATGCCGACGAACCACTGAGCACTCAAGCTGCTCAAGGTCAAGAGGTATAACATCCGTTCCGTGATGGAAGCTAGTTT